TTCCCAAAAGGCACCCTGGCAGCAGAATATTTTAAAAACACCTGGCGCGTTTGCTAATCGCAGTGCCAAAGGGATTAGGAAACAACAGTATCATGAGAAAATCTTTGAAAAGCTCAAAGGGAGGGAGAGAGGAAGAATTCCCCGGGAGCTGCGTGACTGGCCCGTCAAAACATGCTCCAGAAGTCCACATTAGTCACTAGGAAAAATTTCTGACCGGGGGCAGGAAAAAGCAAAAAAAGGGTGCAGAGGGTGGGAGGAGGGCGTTTCGGGTTTATGAGCATGCCTCTGGATTTGGATGGAGTTTGGGAAAAGACAAAGGGAAGCCCTTGTTCATGATACCCAATGCAGCAGCTCCCTAAATTGTCCTCCTCAGATTGCTAAGGGTTCCTTTAATGATCAGCAGTGATCCAGAATAACCGGTGCGGTAACAAGAAGCCAGCTCTCATGGGTGAAAGGTGGCCCATACTTACCAATAGGGTTTGCACTGGTGGAAAACCTAAAGGATATTGTATGGCATGCTCACAATTCACACAAGGGGGACCAGAAACAAGCAAACTAAAACACAAGTCGGGTCCTCGTTGATCCTGCCTTCCCCAAATTTGCTGCCTTCCCAACATTCACATGCTACTCTGAGTACTTGGATGCACTTTAATTCCCCACGCACAACAATCCAACATGTACAACTCCAATAGTACCGAGGTGGATATGACAGTAGGATATTGTAAAAAAGAAACCACTCTGCGTGCGCAGCACAACTTGTGCCAGCATGTGTCACTAAGAAGATGCCATACTTCAAAGATATAGCCATGTTTGTCTGTGGAATCAGTATATAGAAAGATCTTGCAGCACCTTTGAGATTAACTGAAAGAAAGAAACTGGCAGCATGAGCTTTCATAGACTTGAAGATGCCAGGCTGTAACTGTAACATGGTGTGCATAGAGGTTTGGGGGCCTATACAGGCATATATTAGATAGAAAAGCCTGGTGAAGAAGCTCCTTTTTGTACATCCACCAGCCCCAACTTTTCCTCCTCCTTATTTGTTTAGCTGGAACTTTTTTTTAGCAGCAGCAACTTTGGGAGGATGGTGAAGGAGGGCTGCAGAAACACAGACTTTTGGTGTCTTTTGGTTGTTAACAGCATGCATTCAGTGAACAATGCAATAAAGCTTGAGCTCAGAAAGTATGGGATATTGCTCTAGCTCAGTGATTCCCAAACTTTGGTCCTTAGGATGTTTTGGACTTCAGCTCCCAGAATTCCTGACTGTTGGCCAAGCTGGCTGGGGCTTCTGGGACTTGAAGTCCAAAACATCTGGAAGAACAAAGTTTGGGAAGCACTGCATCTATTTGATCCCACTGTGGTGCCTGCCTACAACAGGCAAGGTAAAGAGCAACTAAATCCAGAAACCTTCCCTGGGCATTCATGAAAAGCAACACAGAGAGTTAAGGGGAGAGCAGATAAACTTGCTGACCAGCTTGGCCCAGCCTGCTAAAAACTCCACATATTTAAAAGTTTTTGGCCACCAAAATGGAAAATGTAAGGAAATGGGGGGCTGGTGAAAGAAAAAGCCACCCCTGAATGCACTTCAGATGAAGCTTTCAAGTGGTTACTAAAAGGTTCTAAATGTTTTTGTTTATTTATCCAAGACATCCCTAGCCTTGTTGTTTCCTTTCACCTGTGGGCATGGTTAGTCCTGAACAAAAGGTTTCCTGAAATATGTGGAGCTTCTTTTTTGATGCGCAAGCACTTCTCGTCCTTCTTTCCATGTTATTTCTGCCTCAAGTACCAATTTCTCTGTTTTAAAAAAATCATGTACGTCAACTACATTAAAGGAGTCTTTGGTTATTTTAGCGTAGATTTATGAGACTCGGGAATGAGTGAAGGGAATGGAGAAAAGGGAAGGGAACTGCTGAAGGTGTTTGATTTTCACCTCCAAACATTTCTCTGAAGCAACCAAGGGTCTTACAGATGGGTGACGGCTGCTGCAGGAGCTTTTGACATTTGGGGGAAAGCCTTCCTCCTGTTTAATCCTAAAAATCAGCAAAGCACAGTGGGGGGTTTTCAGCCTGATGCCAGCAGCAACTGACTGATGAATTCAAGAAGGACGGTCATTCATTCGGTTGGCTTTTCAGGAACTGTTTTTCGAAAGGAAAGGAGGGGAAAAGGCACATTGAGCAAAGCCAGCATGTGGCTGCTTCTAGCCATCTTCTAAGAACTTTTCACCCAGAAATAAGGAAGAAAGGAAAGGTCTCATTCAGAGGAGGGCTTGCTCTCCTTTCCTCCTTGCCACTGCCATTCCTAGAATACCAGAGTTGGGAGGGAGCCAAGGGTCACCTAGTCTAGCCCCAGTTTAGAACGTACACTGTGCTGAAGTCCCCCCAAGAGGTGGGCACCCAACCTCCATTTAAAAACCTTCAGCAAATTTATCCTTTTCTCAGCCAAAAAAGAAGTGAGATGGGGGTTTCAGAAGAATTGAAACCCACAAAGACGCGGCCTCTTTTGGCTTTGAGGTGGACACATTTTGCAGTTTTACCTCCAAATCCCTGTGACCTGCAGCATGCAAAACATGTACCACTGAGCTTAAAGCTATTCCCAGGAAGGTGATCATCTCAAGAGAATTTTTCAATACAATTGTCCCCATACTGCAGATATGAGGCTGAAGAACTGAGGCCACTTCTCCAACAAAGTTTTTGCCGCTATTCTAGCTAGCTCTGGATTGACTCTCCATGCCAAAATACCTCCCTTCCTCATCCTCTGGGCACATTTCATCCTCTTTTGTTAGAGACACACTGCCTCTCTCTATTATGCTGCACCATTCTTTGTTCAGCACAACATCTTTCCATGGGCTCTTTATAAAGAATAATAATAAACCTCGGTACACAGTGTGGTCAACATTTATTTGTCTACTTCTCTTCAATAAATAGATTGAAGTCTATTTATCCTATGATTCATTATGTCCACCAGTTTCCATTATCCTTACACACAAAAGGATATGTTTGACTGCAAGCAGCCGTCTGACCGATGGAGACACATTTTGGGCAAAATTGTGTTTGTGAATTTGTGAAATGAGGCATTTATGATACCTTCACCTTTTTATCAAACCAAAAGAGGCAACCAAGCTGCGCATGACAGCAAAGTATGTAGAGAGATCTTGTAGCACCTTTGAGACTAACTGAAAGAAAGAAGTTGGCAGCATAAGCTTTTCTAGACTTAAATCTAAATTTAGGCTAAATGCATCTGAGGAAGTAGACTGAAGGAAGTCTCATGCTGCCAACTTCTTTCTTTCAGTGAGTCTCAAAGGTGCTACAAGATCTCTCTACATACTGATTCTACAGACTAACAGAGCTATGTCTTTGAATTCTACAACAGCAGAGTGTGGAACATTTTGACTACAACACCCATGCTGGCTAGGGGATTCTGGGAGTTCCAGTTCAATATATTAATTTTTCTGGGCTCTACTCAGGAGCAAGACATAGATACTAGCTAGATTAGTCCCAACTGAGATATTGTTAATGCTGCAATTCTACTCTCAGCTTTCTCTCTGTGTGTTTTCAAGCACATAAGCCACCATTTTGAGTGTTTACGCACAGAACAGCAGGATAGAAATTATTATAATCACCCCTTTGCATCAATACTTGCAATTGTGTGTCATGTTCACATCTTCCAATGATAATTAAAACAAACTTGCTAGACACCTTTTAAGATGAGAAAAAGAAAATCATAAACAGCATTCAATCCCTTTTAAAAAAAATGTCCCCAAACCAAATTCTCCCTATCTAGAATTCCCAAATCCAAAATATTCAAAAATCTGGAAGACCAAAGTTTGGGAACTATGAAATGCTGGCTCTCAAACATTAAATACATAACTAAGAACAACCAAAAATACAATGGGCCCTTGGATACCATAATCCGTGGATGCTCAAGTTCCATTAAATACAACGGTGTAGTTAAATAGTGTCCCTTATAGAAAATGGCAAAATCAAGGTTTGCTGTTTGGAATTTATATATTTTCTGAATATTTTCAAGCTGTGGATGGTTGAATTCATGGATAACAATCTGTGGATAGGGAGGGCCAATTGTATGGGAGAAGTTGGTCTTACAAAAAGACAGCAATAGGGAAGAAGGTGGCTGGGCATTTGAAGCTGGCATAACTGAACCTAAGGCGGGAGAGATAGAGGGCAAAAGATAACAGTTTATGCCTGATAGATGTTAAAGATAACAGAAGCTCTGCAGGTAGGATATCCTACCAAAGTGAAATGGTCCTTTCAGCAAACCAAGGGTTAGTTTCCTCCCTCCGAGTGACTCTGTCCCTTTTTTTTCCTTTTGAGCAAAAATGGCTGAGACACCTTTAACTTTTATGGTTATGGGATTCCCAGAGTAAGGCAGAAACCATCAGCAAACAGCTAATCTTGTGTTTGCAGATGGGGCTGAGAGTTTAGTACACTTTAAAACAATAAAGTGGGGGCACCTGCCCTCTGTAAAGCCGGCTGGTAGAAAACAATTCAGTCTTCCTAAACATTTGACAGTTTACAGCTGTGTTTTTTTCCCTTCCTGGTTCTGAATTATACTCTGATCTTTTTTTCAGACACTTAATTTGGAATTAAGTTCTGCTGCATTCAGAGAAGCTCATGGCTTGCAATTTGGTGTGCTGTGAACAACGGCCTTGCAGTGCAGTTCCATGCCGGATGTTCAAGACGGGTTGGTGGTGGTTGTTAATGTGCCTTTACTCTGATTCTAGGGTGGTCTTGGCAAGATTTATTCAGACAAGGTTTGCCATTGCCTTCTTCCGAGGCTGAGAAAGTGTAACTTGCCCAAGGTTTCCATGACTGTGTGGGGATTTGAACCCTGGTCTCCCAGAGCCCACACTCAAACCATTACTCTGCACTGGCTCTCAATTCTGTTCTCAGTGATATCAAATCCATTCAAAAATCCACAAACTAGGCTTTAAGCTGTTTCTCCTTCAAGCTAAAACAACTTTTGCCTTCAGCAGATACCCAAAGAGAGCCAGCCTGGTGCAATGGTTTGCGCAGTGGACTAGGACATCAAGAGACCAGGGTTCAAATCCCTGCTCTGCCACAGAAACCCAGTTCGTGGCTGTGGGCAAGTCAACACTCTCCTTCAGCCTCCGAAGAAAGAATTGGCAAACTTCCACTTGTCGAGAAAACTCTAGGACAGGGCCACCATAAGTTGGACTCAACAAGAAGGCACATAACATCAGAAGTATGGTATACTGTCTCCACAGATTTGGGATGGCCAATTGTGGTTTGGTTGGGTGGAGGTGGCTACAACTTCCATCAGCCCTAGCCACCACAGACAACGATGGGAGCTGCAATCCAGAAACTCCTGTAAGGTTACAGCTGCCCATCTTCTGCTGTAGAGGGAAGCTCTCTTTATAGCTGCCATGGTGAAGATCCTCCATGTGAGTGTGCCTTATCCCTTCTTTCATAACAAATCAGAGCTAGCGCCCACGTGCCACATCTCACAGCAAGCGGATCTTGTAATAGCGCATGACGGTGAGATGAACTCCTTTAGTGTGTCCTGGATGCGTCCACCGGCATACGACACTGCCTTTCTCCAAGTCACACCTGCAGCTTATCCAGCGCAGTATCCTCAACTCATCACCAGCCATGTGAGCTGAGGATGGTGGGCAATGCAGTCCAACACAAGAAGGCAGTGGCAGGTTGGGGAAAGCTGGTTGACTCAATGCCTTGTCTAATATGGCAAACTACACATTACACCATTGTCAAGTCCAGGGGCAGACACAACACAGCCCCATGGGATTTTAAAATTTCCTTCAACAGGAGAAATGTGAGGCATACCACCAACCAGAACCAGGAACAAAATTGTAGGAAAGATGCTAAGAACCATAGCCTGAGAATTTAAAATTACAGGCTGCCTTTGGGTAACCTTGGGCAAGATGCACTCTCTGAACCTCAGAGGAAAGCAAAAGGTAAACATGCCTTCTGACCAAGTCTTGCCAAGAAAGAGCAGTGATAAGTTCCCCTTAAGGTTGCCATAAGTCAGAAATGACACGAAGGGATACAACAACAGCAAAACAACAGCCACTGGGTTCATATTCAATCCTTCTGTTTGATTTTTCAGGAGCAGGTATATGGTACGGTAGCTGTTCTCGCACACAAATTTTGTGGAAGTTTGGCATCAAAATATTCTGTTCCCCAATAGAAGGTGCCTTCCATCATCACAAGGCCCTGTTCATCTAGAGAAAGATTTCTTCCACAACTTGAAAAAAGGTTCTTAAAATATCCCTAGCCAACATAGCTAGCTGCGGAGATTTTGAGAACTCGCATCCAAAACTTAAAAAGAAAACAGATCTTTTCAAAGCTCTGACACTTTCTGATCAAAACCACTCCTAATTTTCTCCCAAGTGGTCCTCATTTCAGCAGCCTTACTTCAGAGGAAGAGGTGAAACTCTTTAGTTGCTGCTAAAGTTAAGAAAGTTTGAAATCCTTTGTCTTTTCCAACTTAAGAATGTCAACCGTCAACAATTACCTACCAAAAAGTGTGCAAAAGAAATTTGCTGCATCTCCAATTCCATCTCTTTGCATATGATACTGACTGTCACTGGGCAGGGCTAGGGTACCTATGGATCTCCAAAGGCTGCAGTACTCTAGTTCCCATCAGCCTAGCCGATGAGAAATGATGGGAGGAGTAGCAGCTCATTAGGATCTGGACAAATTATAGGTTCCACTATAGGATATTTAAAATTATGAGAGAACCTGGGTTCTTGCACCCTCCAGCCATTTGCAGAGCTTGGAAGGAGGTCCTTTCCTGGACTACAATTGGTTGGAGGATTCTGGGCATTGTAGTACCGACTGGATCTCAGTAAGGGTACACAAGTATATCCTTGTCAGTCTGCCAGGATAGAAGTGGAGTTAACAGTGTGTCAAATGGTCATCTGAAGTAGCCAACCCCACTTCTGCCAGCTTATAAAACAAATGTATTAACTGAAGCCAGGGGGAACAAGAATACAACACTGCTATAAAGCCACCCATCTCTCAACTTTTACATGGACTTGCAATTCTAACAAGTGCCAAAATAGTTAAAGATTTCTTACACCATGGTTCAATCATTAATCAAAATGTAGTCAAGAAATCAGACTTGGAAAGGCAGCCATGAAGGAACTAGATAAGATCCTCAAGTGTAAATACCAAAGTTGGAATTATCTATGCCATAGATCTTTCCATTTCTATGTATGGTTGTGGAAGTAGGGCAGTGGAGAAAGATCAACTCATGTGAAACGTGGTTTTGGAGGAGAGTTCTCCAGACACTAAGGACTGCCAAAAAGACAAGTCAATGGATCCGAGAACAAGTCAGGCCTGAACTCTGACAAGAAGTCAAAAAGACTAAACAGAGGCTTTCATATTATAGACACATCATGACACAATAGGACTTACTGGGGGGAAAAACTATCATGTTTGGTAAAGCAGAAGGCAGCAGGGAAAGAAAAAGACCTCATTACAGGTGGAGCGACTCAATCAAGGAAGCCACAGCTGTCTTGAATTTGCAAGACCTGAGATGGTGACCAGGGTTCACAGGTTCACCAGACATCTAAATTAACTTGACAGCAAACAACAACAATGCAAAGTGGACATTGCAAAGAATCCTTTTCACCAGTCAGATCAAAATCTTCTCTAGACCTACCATTTTGTAGTTTCCAAACTGAAAGCCGCACTCTTTATCTGTAGCACACAAGCAAAATGTACAAGTTATGCTTCCCTCCCAGCACCTGACCTTTGCAGGAACACTGCCACAATCCATGGAAGATCCATTTAGTTTTCTAGACTGATGATTATCTAGAGGTTTATACTAATAAACTTTGGAAACTTAAAAAAGGAGGGAATTGTCTAGCTGCCACCATCACAACTAAGTTCTCTCACACCTGTTAGGGATTCTGCAAAAGGCAATTTCCATTTTCTCTGTCCAGATGGGACAATATTCATGTGATGTTAGCAAAAGGCTGGGTGATTTATACAGTACATGCTGACAGGTCCCTGCCCAGAGGGCCATGCCACCTAAAGTTCACCAAAAGAGAAAGAACAGAGGGGGAAAACGGGTGGGAAAATAAACATTAAAATGTTTGGATAAAAGATAGGATTGTCAACTCAAAGGCAACACTGGCAAGGAGGCAGCAATGAACTTCCATGTTTACAAGCAGGATGTCTTTGAGAAGTCCACATCCTGCAGACAAAAACTAGCAAACTATCACTATGTCTGCCTACCTGTGGGTTTCCCAAAGACATCATCAAAAACCTTGCTGGCTAGTGATGATGGGAAAGGTAGTCCAGAACATCTGGAGGTCACTGAGCTGGTGGGCCAAACCTGGATGACGTTTTGTCTTGTTCTGGTAAAGTGGCAATTATTTGGGACAGGGTCTTTTAATACACACACAACGTCAAATCAAAACAGATCGTGTCCCTAATAGTTACCGCTTTACTGGACCAGGGCAAAATTAATGTCATCCAAGCTTGGCCCATCAGCTCCAGATGTGCTGGACTACATCTTCCAGATGTGCTGGACTACCTTTCCCATCATCCCTAGCCGACAAGGATTTTGGTGATGTCTCTAGGCAACCAAAGGGATCAGACCTCCTTTGCTGGATAAAAAAAAAACTAGGAATGCTTTGAAACCGAACAACAACCTCTCTTAAAAATAAAAAGAGAAGCAGTTAAAGACAGGAGACTAGTCAAGGCTGTCCCACTTCAGGTTATGGAGAGGGCTTCATATTTTTGAATGCTTCTCTATATATTCTCTCTCATCTCCCTCCAGTCAGACAAGTAGCACCTCAGACAACACCAGAAACTTTCCCCCAAACATGCTAACTTTCTATGTTCAAGGATTTTTCTTTCAATTGGGAAGAGAAAGTGAGGCTGGAGCAGTCAAGCACATAAAATCCCCCTGATCTCCATCTCTAGAGCCCAGGAAAAACAGTAAAAGACCCAGCAGTGAAAAATTGGGCCGGCGATCACTCCAGAACGGGTGCCTTCCAGGCATTTGGGACTACAACTCCCATCATCCCTGGAGTCTGATGGAAGCCGTAGACCAAAAATCACCAAGGAGACATCACGTCTAGAGACCTTTAACAGAGATGAGGTGGAGAAATTATTTTTTCCTTGGTTCAAAAAGGGGAGGTAACCCAACCATTTCATGAACAAAATGGACACCAAATTATTATCTGTCCTGATAAGTTTGCAATAAGGGTCCAAAACACACTGCAGAAACCATCCAGTCTGAGACTGGATTTTAACTGCCCCTGGTTCAGTGCTAGGGAATCCTAGGAATTGTAGTTTATTGTGGCACCAGAGCTCTCCGACAGAGTGAGGCGCAATGTCTCACAAAGCTACAGCTCCCAGAATTTGCCAGCATTGAGCCAGGGCAGTTAAAGCAGTCTCAAACTGGGTTACTTCTTCTGTGTGTTTGGGACCAGGGAGGAAGGAACAGTGCAGACACAGGAAATAAAAACGGTGCAATCAATAAAACTGGGTGAAAAATACAACGGACGCATAATTAAAAAATAAAACAAAACACACTGGGTTTGCTTTGTTATTGTTGTTGTTGAGGGGGTGCATTCTTGCTCCAAGCTTGTATTGCTGGCTTTGTCTGAGCACTTTTTATCAGTCCCATGCTCTCTGCCCCCCCCCAGCATGCATTTTTTCCATATGAGCTTGCAGATTGCATTCCCTCTCTCTCTGTCCATTCCCCCCCCCCCATTTTCTTTTCTTCTGCCTCCCAGCTCTGCAATATGACTGATCTCATTTCCATAATAGGATTGTAACCATGGCTGTCAGAAGGAGTGCAGAACCGGAGGGAGGAGGGTGGGAAAAGCAAGGGCTGTGTTAGATCATCCGCTCAAGGGAGGGCTTATTACACTAATTCCACTCCCCAACCCTCTATAAATATTGCTGTTTGTGTTCTGCAAGGGTGTATGCAAAGATAGCCACCCTGCAACAACTTGTGTGGAGTTTGCTTTGCTTATTAAAAATCATACTTGCATTAACACTTGCGCCTCCAGTCCAAAACACACGGCAGGAATAACCCAGGTTGAGACCACTTTAACT